CTTTACACCCACTGTCGGCGTGAGGCCGACGGACCGACGTTAATTTGGAACACTGCATGTGTCTATGTGTCCAGACCTCTATCTTAGACATGCCTGGAGTGATTACATTCAAACTTCACACATATATCATACATACTGAATGTGGCTCAGGTTGGCCTTATTTAGATGTTGAGCAGATACAAGTTGGCTTCATTGGTTTATGGGTTAGCCACATTAGATGTGGATCGTGCTGTTCCAGGTTGGTTTCATTAGGTATGGGTTGGTTCATTCGGATATGGGTTGGACCCCTTAAATAACTTATAAGAAATTGATTGACCTCATTAGATATGGGTTGGCTACATTTGGTATTGAGTGGCCAAATTCAATATTGAGTGGCCAGTGGGTTATTAGTCCCCGTTCGGACGAAGTCTGAAAACGGGGACTTATAATTCGGTCTCCGTGCGTCCGTGTGTCCGTGCGTCCGTCCGGAGTCATATCTCAGAATCCCTTGGACCGATTCCGTTCATTCTTTGCATGTGCCTAGTACTTTATGTGGGACATATGCACATGCAGTGGTTTAGCGATTCGATTCAAAATGGCCGACTGGCAGCCATCTTGTTTTTTTTAAATGTTGTATTTTGGACATGCTTTGTCAGTTTTCATTCAAACTTGGTACATACAGTAGATTATACATGTTAGGATACATGTCCATGATGATTTATTTCACAATTGGATCAAAGATGGCCGACTGGCAGCCATCTTGTTTTTTGAAAATATTGTATTTTGGACATGCTTTGTCAGTTTTCATTCAAATTTAGTACATAGATCATACATGTTAGGATACATGTCCCCGACCGTCTGTGAGTTCCTGAGTCTGTCCGTCCGACCGTCCATGTGTCTGTCTGTCCGTGCCTCAGTCTGTCCAACGTCATATTTCAGAATCCTGTGGACCGATTCTGTTCATTCTTTGCATGTGCCTACATGTAGTACCTTATGTGGGACATATGCACGTGCAGTGGTTTAGCGATTCGATTCAAAATGGCTGACTGGCAGCCAACTTGTTTTTTGAAAATGTTGTATTTTGGACATGCTTTGTCAGTTGTCATTCAAACTTGGTACATAGATTATACATGTTAGGATACATGTCCATGACGATTTATTTCATAATTGGATCAAAGATGGTCGACTGGCATGTATCTTGATCTTGTTTTTTTATGAGGTATCTTGGACGTGCTCTGTCAGTTTTCATTCAAATTTGGCACATACATGTACTTTATACTTGTTAGGATGCATGTCCATGACAATTTGTTTCAAAATCTGGTCAAGGATGGCCGATTGACAGCCATCTGACTTTTTGGCCTTACTACTATACTTCCACAATTTATGTACCATTTTCATTCGTATTTGGCACATACATCATACATATCAGTGTGTTTCATAATCAGATCAAAGATGGCTGAATAACGACTGTTTTTATTTTGGCCATATTACGAAACACGTGTTTTGATGTAAATAAACAATCTGTTGTATACGCCACTTGGAACTCAAGTTTCAAGGACACGCTTGCGACAACCCCTCCGCTTTAATATGACGAGCACAAAGAGAACTTAACGAGGACTGTGTCATTTTCAATGACTTGTTCTTTTGGTTAATTGTTCAGTCTTATTGGTTATGGGCCTAACTCATTAGATATGATCTCACTGATTATGAATTGATTTTTTCTGATTATTTCTGTTTCATATTCATGTTTATATATTTCCAGAACTGAGTCATTGACCGTATCTCCTGATCAGACTGACTGGTCATCAGATAATCCTTTAACACTGCTAGCAGGTATACATTATAGTATCAGAGTCACTGCTGTTAATGGTGCTGGTTTGTCTACTGTCCATGATACTGATGGCGTTATTATCGACCCTACACCACCCCGGGTAAGACATTCAGTTTAGTTGCCTGTTCATTTGGTGTCATCGTTACGTAAGGGTGTAATGGAATACACTTACGCATGGATTGTCCACACGTACATTCATCACAATATGTAATTCTCTTATTCAGATGAAGAAAGTCTTTGTTGGTGTACTAGCTGGTGAAAGTGAGGAATTATTTGATGATTTCGTCCTCCAAACTGATCTCAATGGTATCCTAGCAACATGGTTTGCTACTGATGCAGAAAGTAGTATCATGTCATATTGGGTTGCTGTGGGCACTGCAGCAGGTGAGTGCTGAATTTCTAAGACAGTGACAGTCTTATTGGTTTTTACCTTGTCCGTACCATCAAAAATGGAAGGGAAAGGTATATTAGGGGAAAAATCTGTCCGGCGTTGTCGTTGTTGTTGTCGTCGTCGTTAATAATTGTTATTGTGTGCACAATAACTTTACTAATTCTATTCCAAACTTTATCAAACTTGGTCACCTTATTCATCAGTATAAAGTCTTCCCTATGAACGACAGATGTCCTGTATGAAAATATCATGCAAAAATTGAGAAAATCTGATAAAATATTTTTACTGTTTCTACTTGTCTGAACACTGGTGATACACATTCAAAGGTCACTGATCTCAGTGGAAATATGCATTGTTGTATGTTTTCAATAAAGCAAATCATTTATCTTGTAATAATATCCTTTGTAATGTATCTCCCAAATCCCATGGGAATACTAGACTGGGTTTTCAAATCCAACTACTGAGCATTCCCGCATAATTAATTACAAGACAAAACTAGGTCAAAGGTCACAATAATAGAGCAGTATATAAGAAATGTTAACATTTTAAATTTATTTAGAAATGTGTGGGATGTAAAAGAGTTGTTACAGTAACAATTTTTTTTTCAGATGGTTCTGAGGATAGTTTCGTTAGTGATTATCGAAATATGGGGAATAAACGTGATGGCTACATTGATGGATTGACTTTGGAATTATATGATGAGATCACGGACGGACCAATATATTATATCATTGTGAAAGCAGAGAATGGTGCAGGTAGCATGTCTACCCCTTTGGTGTCCAGGTAAATTTTTCTTTTCTAAATACGCTTTTTTTATGCAAGACCCCTAAAGGTCACATCCAGGAACTATTTCTGGGGGTATTTCTTTGTTTTACTTTCTAAAATAAAAGATAATTCCTGTTATTAGATAATCTTTGTTGGTTTAAAAGTGAGAACTCTGCATATTTTATATTTGGTTCCAGTCCAATCAAGGTTCTACAAGGTGACATAACTGGCTTGACTAATGATGGACCAGACACACAGACCATTGCTGGCAGCACAGTCAGTATTGACACTGACTATCAGAAAGAGAATACCATAGTCACTGCACAGTTTCATGGTTTTGAGAGTCAAAGACATGGTATTGTACATTACGAATGGGCTGTGGGATCAACACCCAGACTGGATGATATTCAACCTTATACTAGTGCTGGTATTGTCGTAGATGGTGGTCATGACAACCCCGGAGGAGGTCAGTAAAACATTAATCACACATTGTTTTTGTATAGAAATGAAATAGCCACTGTGTAAATTAATTTTAGTGGATTTGATATTCACTGTTCATCATGGCATATTTGTCACATAGTCAATCTACATTCAGAACTAACAGCATCTGATAAAATTAGAAAAATAATAAATGACGGTAACATTTTGTGGTCACTGAAATTTTGTACTGAATTCAGTGAATAAAAAATAGTTGAAAAAAATATTGCAAGCAAAATAAAAAAAAAAAGAAGTACAAATATTTCAACATCTATTTTGGAATAGTAGTAGACCATTTTCTATTCTTCTTGTAATCAAACATGAAAAAATAAAAGTCATGGGATTGTAATGGTGTCAAAACAACACATGGGATTCAATCAACACTGTAGTTTGCGGTTTCAATAATGGGCTACTTTTGATGAAGTGAGGATATCTCAATACCATGTCCATCTCTGTAAGATTGGTATTGACCAGGAATATTTCTTGTTTGCTGTACTTCAATTCAGTAAATTGATCTATCATTAGAATTTGTTTTCATTGTAGGTTTGAGTGGTTCAGGTAAAGCACAGATGCCATTAGAGCTGGATAGTAGTATGACATACTTTACTACAGTCAGAGCTATAACAGGTGCTGGTAATGTACTAGATTCTGTCAGTGATGGCTTCACAGTTGATTTGACATCCCCTGTCATTACTATAGACAGTCTGGGTGTTATGGTTGATAATGATACGCTTAATCTAGATGTAAATACTGCACATTATCAGGTAAGTTAT